AATGGTTTGAACTGGGGGTTCATAGTAGGAATTGAAAGGTCATAATGGATTTGAAAAATAAATTAGAGGTAGATTTGACAGGAATTTGAAATTGATTAAAGACGGTAAAGAGAGAAGGGAGGTGGAAAAATCAATACCCTTAGTGGCTGACTTGAGCCCTAGTATGTTTTTCATAGGAAAACTAGAAGAAAACTGACTTGAAGCAAGAGACAGTGATTTAAATTTTGAAGTTATTGAACACTAATTGTCTAAGAGTCATTCAAGTGGGAGTGTTCAATTGGTAGCTGTATATATGGATCTAGAGCTCAGAAGAAGGATCTGTGTTAAAGATACAAATTAAGAAATCAATACATACATTGTTTCATGAAGCCTTGGGAAATGATTAGTGATCCAAATAGAAAGCATCTAATTGGAAGAGAGAAGATCACTTGCAATAAAACCTCAAGGAACATTGTCATACAAGTGTAAAAACTGAATGAAGAATTGCCAAAGGTTACTGAGGAGTGAAACACAGGCAAAATAAAATTCTAGAGAAAGGAATATCTTAAACAGTTAGGAGTGTTCAACAACATCAGAAGTTCCTAACCATGATATGGTAGTGTCGATGGGGACCTGAGCAGTGGAGATAAAGGCAAATTCAGGAAGGTTTGGTAACAGTGAGAGTTCCACCTCTTTTGTGGAATTTGACTCTAAGCTGAAAGAGATAGAATTGCTGAGAGAGAAGAAAATTTGGCTCATTATTTGTTCTTTTGGATTAGAAAACTAAGACATATCAACTGGCAATAGAAATGGTGAAACTAAAGAAAAAGGGTGGGGTAGTAATATTCTTGTGATATTATTCCTTGATTCATATGCTACATCTGGGTAATGCTACATAATGTCCCCGTTGGAACATTCATTTTATGTGATGGCATTTTAATAGAGCATCTATGAATTTTGTGGCAAATCTATTTGATTTTATGATTTCCAATATTTTCCAAAACCAATTTGATCAAAGAACATGTTTTATTATACAATACCTGTTAATTGCCTAAAAAACTTAGAATTCCTTAGGAATTTTCTGGTAAGATAGGTTTCCTGAGGGAGAGAAAGTAATAAGATTTTGTGCTCAAATGGAGGGATTCATCTTAGCAGTAGGATAAACTGTCCTAGTGTGACAAAATGAAAAGAGAAAAACTAATGGATATTGCCAGGTTTATAAGCTTGATGGCAATAAATTGATAGCTTCTATTTCTCTCTAAAGTTTAAGGTAATATCCTAGCAACACACACACACAGAAAAAAGCTTACAAGTATACAAAGTGAACTATACACATAGAAACCCACACACAAATAGGTGCCTAAATATATATAAACTTATAAGCACTAGCACTTAAATACATAAATTCAAATAGATGGAGATGTTACTGATGTTAAGATATTGTAGGATTATAGTTTATGTAAAGGAGAAGAGTTTTGAAACAATTGTTGAAGGCAATGTCAGGGAAAGAAGGGTTTCTCAGCAATACTAGATCCTAGGTAATGTAGAGATAATAATTTATACTGACATTCATCTACTACTAATCTAGTGCAATTTCTTTAGCAGCTTTAAATAGCTTAGTTGGGACCATTCCCAGATTAAGGTTTTCGAGGTGGTATGATGGTGAAAATAGAATAAATAACTGAAAACGTTGGATAATACAGGTTGAATATAACCATAGAAATATAATACTAATTATGATAATAGAAGGCCATCAGAAGACCTGGAACCCTATGCCAGATAATCTGGCTCCACATTTTGTGCCGTAGAAATTGTTCATCCAACAGAGGAGAAAGATAAAGGAGATGGATGCTTTGATGGTATCAAATATCAGGTCTAACAATAAATCCTGAGTGAGAAAGATAGAAAGAAAGAAGATGTAGAAAGTTGCATAACAGCTGAATTTATAATTGGAGAGGTGAAGTTGAGTGATAGAATCTTTGACTCTAGAAAACATGTAACTGGGGTAAAAAGGAGATGAATATCACTGGGGATGAGATTAAGGGATTGTAAAGTTGGAATATTGATTTCATCTGCCATATGGCTTCTGAAGTATTATACCATAGTGTTAAAAGTGGAAGTAGAAAGGAACATGGTGATCCAGGTTCTAGAGTCTTCAAGAATTGTGGTTGCCAGTGGCAAGGCAAGGTAGTAAATATGCAGAAAATGGTACAATGTAATAGCATAAGCTAAACATGAATTGGAAGCTCTTTTATTTAAAAAGAGCTTTTTTGAGAATGATAGTCCCAAAATGGTAGACATAGGAGACCCCAGCCTCCATCTTCCAACAAAGTCAACAATTAGACAGCTATCTGTGAACAAAATCAGCTCTGAGAGAGTTCTGGAGCCCACTTATGAAATTTTAGAAACACAGTTGAACAAACATCTTCATCTTGCAGCAGCATCTCACCCTCCAAGCTGGCATTGCTCAGTGCCAAGAGGGCACTTCCAGATAGAATGAGTTCCTCTTGTGAGAGAAAGAAAGAATGGATGTGCTATCATCTTCTCCAGCCTTTTGGGGCACCACACAAAGGTCCCAGCTTGGTTTCACTCCATCCAGACCAGCAAAGCTGAGACTTATAAGGATAGCTAGAAACAAGAAAGAAACACAGGGGCTACCAATAGCAGCCAGGCAGTGGGAGTGAGTGAGGTTCACAGTGACCTGTTCCATGGACAAACCAGGAAGCTTTTGCCACTGAAGAAGGAACTGAAGGCCAGAATAGTTGCCGAAGACACCCTGATGATTTCATCAGCTTTTGCTCCACAGATATTTACATTTGCTGACACCAGTATCCTGAGTCCCTCCCTACTTCCTTTTATTTGTTCCCTCTGGAGCCCAGAAAACACAGCAGCAGCTAGCTTAGACCTCTGTGGCTGCAATAGTGCATGAAGTCAACTTAGAACCCTGTGGTTGACTCCCCCTACCCCCTTGACAAAGTTCCTTTGGGCTGAGCACTTACATGCAGCCACAGGAGAACAGGTAGTCCTCAGCTACTTGTGGGCTCAGATCAGACTTTGTCTTCTGTCACTGGCCTATACCACAACACTAACCTGTAGCTACCGACTCCCAGCTGTGTACCTGCACACCCCCAGACATACCTTGTCACTGGTCTCCACTGCAGTGTCTACACCTCAGGGGGAAGACTGTCCAGCCATGAGAAAGTCACAGGAGAGCAATTCAGAGAAAAAAACAACTAAGCTGGAGGCATCATATTCTCTGACTTCAAACTATACTCCAAAACTGTAGTAATTGAAACTGTATGATACTGGCATAAAAACAGACAAACAGACCAATGGAACAGAATATAGAGCACAGAAATAAACCTGGTCAACTATGGCCAACTAATATTTGATAAGAAGCCAAAAATACTCAATGGAGAAAGAACAGTCCCTGTAATAAATGGTGGTGGGAAAACTGGATAACAACATGAAAGAGAATGAAACTTAACCCCTATCTTCAACACTCATTAAAATTAACTCAAAATAGATTAAAGACTTAAACATAAAATCTGAAACCATAAAACTCCTGGAAGAAACCATAAGGAAAAAACTCCCTGACATTGTTCTTGGCAGCAATTTTTCTGGATTTGGTACTAAAACACAAGCAACAAAAGCAAAAATTAACATGTGACACTACATCAAACTAAAAGTTTCTGAATAATAAAGGATCATCAACAGAATTAAGAGGCAACTTATGGAATGGGAAAATATTTGCAAATCATATATCTGATAAGGGGCTAATATCTAAAATGTATAAAGAACTTATACACTTCAGCAGAAAAAAAAAGAGAAAAGTAAAGAAACCAAACAATCTAATAAATAATGAGCAGAGCAACAGAATGGACACTATTCCAAAGAAGAGATATAAATGGCTGATAAATATACGTAAAGGTGCTCGATATCATAATCATCAGAGAAATGCAAATCAAAACCACAACGAGATATCACTTCAGACCTGTTAAAATGGCTATTAGAAAAAAGAGAAGCAATAAATGCTGTGAGGATTTAGATAAAAGGTGACCCTTGTCTACTGTTGGTGGGAATGTAAATTGGCTCATTCACTATGGAAAATATAATGGAGGTTCCTCAAGAAATTAAAAATAGAACTACCAAGTGATCTAGCATCTAGTAATCCCACTTCTGGGTATATATCTGAATGAAATGAATACAGGGTCTCTAAGAGGGACCTGCGTTTTCATGTTCACTGCAACATTATTCACAACAGCCAAGATATAGAAACAACTTAAGTGTCCACAAAAAAACAAATGTATATAAAAGATGTGGTATGTATATATACAGTGGATTTTACTCAGCCATGAGAAAGAAGAAAGTCCTATCATTTGTAACAATGTGTATGAAATGAGGGCATTATGCTAAGTGAAATAAATCAGACAAAAAGAGGTAAATGCTGTATGATTTCACTTGTATGTAGAATCTAAGAAAGTTGCACTCATGGAAACATAGAGTAGTGGTTACTAGGGGCTGGTGGTTAGGGAAATAAAGAGATAATGGTTGAATTCAAGTCTGAATTTCCAGCTATAAGATGAATAAGGCCTGAAGATCTAATAAACTGTATAATGGTTATAGTTAATAACACCATATTATATACTGGAAATTGAATTAAAGAGTACATCTTATGCGTTCTTACCACACAAAAAAAGAAAAAGAAATGGTAATTTCAAGACATCACGAAGTTGTTAGCTAACACTACAATGTAATCATTTTGCAATATATGTGTATTGATTCAACATACGCACCTTAAACTTATACGAGATCATCTATGTCATTCCATCTCAATATGCTGGTAAAAATAATGCATGCATATTATTAAAAATTCAAACAATGAACTAAATTACAGAGTGGGGAAAAAATCCTAATCGTGTTGAGATTTCTACCATTAATAATCTTTTACATAATCTTTTACAATATGTCCTCACAGCCACAGAAGCAAGGTTTTTCTATGAGAATGGAGGAATTCTTACCTTAAAGTAGAAAATGAGGAGAATGTCAATCCTTGTATCAACACTGAAGAAAGTGGGGTGTGTGATGCTGCAGTCCTCCATCTGAAAAGAAAAATAAAGGTTTAAGGGGAGACCCATTGTCAGTTAAAGGAAACAAGTGAAGATAAGTTTTTTTAAGTTTATTTATTTATTTTGAGAGAGAGAGAGAGCACATATGTGAACAGGGGAGGGACAGCAAGATGGGGAGAGAGGATCCCAAGCAGATTCTGCACTCACAGGTCACAGCACAGAGCCTGACATGAGACTTGAACCCATGAATTGTGAGATTATGACCTGAGCTGAAATTAAGAGGCAAATGCTTAGCCAACTGAGCCACCCAGGCAGCCCTAAGCTAACTTTCTTCCATCAGGCAATGACTGTGATTATATGAGTGTTTGTTAATCATAGAATGCATATTTCAGAAATCACAGAAGAGTTTTTGGAAACAGGAAGGCTGAAAAAAGGTATGTCATGCTAACGGGAGTACAAAATTGTGTCAGCTGAGAAGATGAGAGCATACTCATGATCAGAAAGATTCCATCTTGATGGCAGTCAAGGAATTGATGTATGGGAGAGGTAACAGCTGCAAGGCCAGCAAGAAATTCAATTTGGTGACCACTTCACACAGTGATGGACACATCAGTGTCTCAGGGATCAGCTGATGGGATGATACTCATTCTTTTTTTTCATTTACTCATTCATTTTTTCTCACTTATTTTTATAGGCTCTGAGCACCTCCTGTGTGCCAGGAACTATGTGAGTCTCTAGGGTATAAAGTGATGAACAAGAGAGTCATAATCCAGTACTCTCAGAGAGAACAAAATGGCAAAATAGCATATGTTTATAAATGCCATTGAAAATCGGAAAGTGGACAAGCACAAAGCAATCTGTTCCCCCCAAAACAGCTGTCCAGGGAAGTAGGAACCCAATGCACTGAAATCATAGTTTTCAAATAAAAAAAATTAAGTTTATTTTTTGAGGTGGGGGGAGAGAAAGACAAACAGAGAGAGAGAGAGAGAGAACAGGGGAGGAGCAGAGAAAAGAGGCTTCACACTGTCAGCACAGAGTCTGATGCGGGGCTCGAATTCATGAACTGTGAGGTCATGATCTGAGCCAAAAATCAAGAATCAGTCACTTAACCTACTGAGGCACCCAGGTGCCCCATGCAACCATCGTTTTCACAGAGAAGAGCCTAAAAAGTCCCAATCTCCATACCAACTAAAAGCTACTTGGGCTCACTGTTTACATAGATATTAGCAGTTTTTATAGCTTTTAACAAATTTTATTATTAAGGAATTAGCATAAACACTCAGGGGTGCACATATCTTACAAAATATTGAGAAAGGAAAGATATGAAGATACACACACTATAAACCAGAAGCTTCTAATATGTTCATTAAATCTTGTTTGATATACAAAATTCCTTTAATATAACGTCTCCACATAATTTCAACATTTGTAAAAAAAAGAGTCACTAGTTTTTTGAAACATGATTTACTTTATAAAGGCACAAAGCATGACTTTGCAAAACTATAGCAATTTATCACACCTGACAGCCAACAGAAATAACACTGTATGTATACACAGAGAAGTTGCTCATGTGCTTTAGTGTATATATTTTAGGACAGAAACCCCCCAAAAAAAACATCCACAGAGAATTTCTCTTTATCAGATACTGTCTTATTTCTGAAGGTCTCCTTTTTTCAAAGATAAAACTATAATACTCTCTCAAAAAGAATATTCAATAAGTTTATACATTTATAGTCTCTCATAGTAATTTATTATGAACAGTTTTAAAATAGCCTTTTGGACCAAAGACAGAAATTCTTAATTTTTACTAACGTGATTCATAACATGAGCTACATCCATAGGTAGGTTTTTTTTCTTTTTTTCATTTTTAGGAGCTGATGGACTGTGGTTGAAATATAGTTATTCCTAGGCTAAATAAATGTGATATGCTTTCCAGTGAGGAGGATAAAATACTTCTCAGTTTATTCCAGGACAGCTCTATTGCAAGCAGTTACCTCCAAGCTTTAGTAACATTTCTCTGAGAACAAGCACCACAGGGAGACAGAGAATTTGCAGATGGAGAATGGCAGTTACATTTTAGCATCACAGAGTGAGGGCAATTAACCTTTGTGGGCATCTACCCATGTGGCATAAACTTGCATGTGGTCCTCATGAAAGGAGATCACCTCACTCACCTTAGGCTGTATACATTAGAAACACATAAACACACTCTCCGGATTGACAGAAAAGAGTGTAAGATGGTAGAGAGCTGGCTTTTTTGTTTTTATCTTAATTAATTTCTGATTACCACTGGCTTGGAAGCTTGTTTTTAGATAATTTGTTTAGGATCAAACAGGAAATCTCTTTGAGAGGAGATGATCTCGAATAACCTACCTGGAGAGGTAGCTGTTTTTCACTTGGTCGGGGCTTGGGGTGGGAGGCAATGAGGGGAGCGGTAATGCATACCAGGAATAAGCCATCATTTTAGGAGCTTTGGCCGGACAGAGTGTTACTCTAACACACTTGCACATCCTTAAAGAAATATGTTCATTCAGAAAATGAAAGTGTGATTTGGACATAATTTCCATAGAACAGAAATTCTGAAAATAATTCTAGCCAAGGGGGAAGAAAGAAGTCTTACTTGAAACATTCTTTCAGTCCTCCATAAGCATTTAATTCCCCACATATACTATGTAGTGAAAAAACTATATTTCTATCATTCATGTAGTTAGGATATCAGTAGTCCTCCTGAATATTTTCTGAATAATTGTGCAGAAAAGTATGGCATAGAATGTCTTAGTTATAAGATTATGTAAAGGAGTGTTTCAGACTCCACAATCATATGTGAAAATTTCCCATGTGTGAGAACTTCCTGGATGCAGAAAAATTCTCTTTCCCAGAAGCTCTGTTGATGATTAACTTCCCTGCAGCCTTCAACATGGAAGTAGATACCTAAATCCACTTAACATTTCAAATTAATTAAAATTTTAAAAGCTGGCTAATTTCTAAAGTGTATACTCATTGTTTATGGAGCAAAGGATGCAAACTCTACTTTACTGAAATGGTTTTGTTTGTATTATTCATCTTCGTGGTTCATTAACCCCATTTTTCATGTCAGCATCTCACTTCCTTTCTTGCTACTCTGTGCCCATGGTCTGAGCGGTCATAATAAAGAGAATGCAGGGCAGTGGGCCAAGCATTAGAAAATGACTTCATCTTCTACTTGCCCAATTCTTCTAAAGCAAGGAAGCATCTTCATAGCCATCAATAATCAAGACAGCCATTATATCCCTTAACAGAGCCTAATGCTGTTTTAGCTGAATTGGAAGCAAATTTCCCTCATATTCCAACTGTATGTTTTTCTTGGAACTGACCAGCTTTGGGATTTTTATTTAAGAATCCTTCTGGTTGGCTGGTCACAGAACATTGAAATCATAAAAATCTGAAGCTATCTAATATTAAAAGAATATTGACTACTTAAGAAAATCTATGCTTAAAATGTTACCCCCAGAAGGCCATATTAGTTACACCCCGATTACTTTCTACTCTCAAAAAATGACATTATTTTACCTCTTAGACTTCATTGTAAAAAGAAAGGTAATAAAACACTCAAAGATATACATTGGCTGGGAATATGTAGTGAAAATAAATTCTTCCTTTCGTAAATAAGTATCATCCATTTTTAGAGGAATATTTTGTCTCTGCACGCATCAGACTTACTACATAGATAAGTATAACACTAGTATGTATGAAGCATTCGTTATGTATCATGAACAGGGTTAAGTTCTTAGGTAGATTATATCACTGAATTCTTCTACCTGGCCAGTGACTCAGGCACTGTTATAAGTAAGGAAAATGAGACTCAGAGAATTTAAATAACTTGTCCAATATTACACAGCTAATAAGTGGCAGAGGCAGGATTCAAGCCCCCAGAATCTAATGTCAGACCCCACCCAATCAGTATACCATAACACTTCTCAGAGTCTTAATGGAGAACAATCCTTCTACTGGCACAAATATAACTAGAAACTATAAATATAACTAGAAATCAGATATATGTATATTCAGGAATAGATGGTAATTCATCTTATGTTTCTTTTTTTAATGTACAAAAGGACTTTGTATTGAAAAAGGACTAATACTTTACTTGAAAGATTTAATTCCATTTATCATTTAAACTGTAAACAATATACTAAGGAGAAAACGTTACTGTAGTTTTTAGAGGCAACTACTTTCAAAGAAAATGAGAGTCAGATAAGTGCATATTTAGGTACAATTTCCAGCTATACAGTTTTATTTTGTTTTTGAAGTAATGAAAATCAAATCCTATCAGCAATAGTCATTCCACTGAGGAAAACTCACCTTTAGAATGGAAGAATTTGTGCATTGCTTATGCTGATTTAAGAGTTACAAACATGAAAAGGAATCCCCATGGTGTCTGATCTAATCTTGACACAGACAGTATCCACAAGATCTATTGTCAGTTACAGCTCAAAGCTGCTGCCTCGGGAAGAAAAAAATGCTTTGATAACTCATTGTGTCAGAGAAAAAGATTTCACTGTGTGAAATATTGATTAAAACTTTAAAATAAAATTGGTACTTTCTGAAAGAACCTTGTAAAGGTAACAAAGAGAATAACAAAGAAAGTCTAAAGGGTGCTTTCAGGATTGATTTCAAAAAAGGTTGATCTTTAATAAAATCTTGTGAAAAAATATATATTATCTTTTAATACCTACGTCAATATAATTTTCCACTACCAATGACAATATGCTTTCTTCACATGGCTGTTATTATTTATATTTTAAGGTCAAAGTGCATTTATTCAGCTCTTCAGTTAATAATAATAAATGCATTTCAGCCCTAGACTTCAAACTATTATTCCTCAAGGTATAAATAAATCCAGGAAAAGTCAATAATATAAATAGATATTTTTCTACCAAAGAAGACCTATGAGTCTATCTAGGCTTTTCAATTTTATAACAAATCTATAGAATATATAAAGCAATTACAGTAATTTTTAGAGCATTTCCTTTCTATTTAGGAATATGGAAAAC